GGCTTTACTCGTTTCTGCTCATCGTGTTCTTTCATCTCGAAAACGAGGTGAGATTGCTTGTGAAGTCAGCGTTTCATTGGGAAAGAGGCGGCATCTCAGGGTTGAAAGTTTAACGGGAATTATTTCATCATTTTTTTCGTCTGCGTCGAGATTCTCGACTCGAGATGAAGAATAAAAAACGATTCTGAGTGTCAATGATGCATGTCAGTGTCTTATAATCTTCGACCTGCTCAGAAAAAAGGGTGCATTTTTTCAATAGATTCTCTCTTGTATGACCGGAGATTTTTTTTCTTCGCTACAAACGATGTTTACAATAATTTAGTGAAATTAGGGAAAATATTTATGACTTGGCGTAAAAAATGAGTTTTGAGAACGGTTTAGTTCCATTTCTAGTTATTTTACCCTTTAAAATATCGATTTTTGACAAAAAAGCAAGTTTTCAGCAATTTTGCACAGTTTCCGAAAACTTATCAAGAATATTGAGTTTCTTTCAGCAGTTTTTTTCTTCTCTCGGACGGATTTTTTCCCTTTTTCACGCCTTTTGAGTGAAACAGCGAACGAAAAAAAAATGGAGCACTTTGAAGGTGTTGATGGAAACAAGATGTGATTGAAGTGAAACGGGAGACGTTACTCAATTACATCGCGTGAAGGAAGCGACAACACTCACTGTCATCGAAACAGATTGACGAAACGAATATTGAGTTACACGTTTAGCAATTTGTCTATTCCACACGTATGTGGCGAGGTGCGGTATGGTCGTGTGCATTTCATTTGCAACTGTAACATTGTCCTCTTTTCAGCTCTGTTCGATGGTTTTTTATGATGTTTTCTGAATGTGTCGTTCAATTGATGACAACTCTGGTGAATTTATGCATGACATGAGTGAAGCGCATCTCGAAATGGGTTGTGTTTCAAAAAGTGTCTGAGTGTTTGTATGAGTATTTCCCGCTTTTTATTCATTCCAGCAATGGCATAGCGAGGCATGAGTTATTGAATTTGTACGTGTGATATCAAGTGACGAATGCATTGGCAACACAACAGAAAGTGACGTGTGTTTGTTTCTCAATTTTCACATCATTTTCGAACTCCGTTGTTTTTTTTCTTCTTCATCCATGTGCTCTATTTTCAGTCAACGAATACTGGGAGATACATTCGACAGAATAAATGAGAAAATATTAAATAATAAATGAACGTCGTAAATCGTTGAACAACTTATTTTTCTCTCAATTTTCTTGAAAATGTTTTGTAAATGCCGAACGAAGAAGTTTGCATTCAACAGAAAATTGACTCGTCGCTCGTTTAATCGTTTGTAATTTGTGATGTGTGCAAGCGAACGCGCTTGCTCGCTAGCCCGCGCGCGCGCGCGCTCAATCTTGTTTAATATACTCATTCTGGGATTGTTTGCATCGTCGTTCATTTAATGAGTACCAATCGACATATTCCGTTTCAGAACACACACATTTCGAAAGGAAAACAGTTCCGTTTTTCGTGTGCATGCTATTTATGTTTGTCATCATCGTAACATTCGTTCCGTTTCGTTTTTGAAAGGAGTAATTATCTCGTGCAACACATTTTCTAATTGGTAAATTTGTGATAGATTCATGCGGTTGGTGTTGTTGTTGTTATTTTTTCTGTTGGTTTGTATTCAAGCAGCTAATTCGTGTGAGCGGCTCACTCATTTATTAATATAGCAATTATGGATATAAACTTCTTTTCCTCTCTCTCTCTCGATCTCGTTATGTTACTTCTTCGTTCTCATTTTGAATGCTTTTTCTTCTCAAGTTTCTCGCGTCAGTTTCGTTGAAATGTAAACAGCAACATTTTTAGCCCGAATGACTATTTAGCTGTGAAGCTAATCCATCAGTCAGTGCTGAAGTGTTTCTCATTCGATAAATCATGTAATGCTTGCGGGCCGCCGCATTCTCTCTTATATCGGGAAAATGAATTATGAACTAAATTATGATGACGATATAATTAGTTAGCGGTTTAGCCAGGCTAATGCAAACGTGTGGATATTTGAAACGTGCAATTTTAACACTAAATCATCAAGAATTTATGATGCAATGCAATTGAATGCGAAACATTTGTACGCCGTTTTTTCTTTCGTGCTTCGGTTTTGTTCTCTCAACTCCTTCCTCATTGATATCGACATTCTCACATTGGTGCTAAATGGAATTAAGATGTTTCGAGGCGTAAATGCATCATTATCGTTGTCAACATATTGTCTGCATTGTAGTGCTGTAATGCACCACTAATTGCTGTAATGAGATTTCTTCAATTTGTGTGCAACAACAGCGTGGATATTTCATTCATTATGACGCAAATCCATTCGTCGGCAGATTCTGTTTAGCATGTGCAATGACAAAACAACCACAAAATGAAAGTGCATAAAATGCACAACCGCTTAGATGATTGTCAAGTCTTTGTAAAACGGCGGATCAATGGAAAAAACTACTTTTTTTTATTATCATGCACGATAATTCATCAGATTGATAAATGATTTTACTTACGCAAGTATGAATAGAACTTTGAACAGGGAACTGTTTCTCGAATAGAAAAAAACTTGTATTCGATTAACTCATTTCCATAATTCTTCAAACGGAATCGAGTTCAATGTAAATGTCTAGGCTACTCCTGAAAAAAGAATTTATTCAATATTTTGAAAAGAAAAAGGATTATTCATTCTTGTAAATAATCTAGATTATTAGAGAACTCTCTTTTGTACATTTTAAACTTTTTTTTCTCCAACGAAAGCATAACATTCTTCGTTTTCCATTTCAAACATTGTTCAAAGTCCATGTTTTGATTTGGGGGCAATCGAAAACTCTTTCCAATTTGGATAAAATTAGTCACAGTTTAGGCCTCCTCTCCCCAATTCCATCCATTTCGTTTTGGTAAATCGATCGAAGTATGTGCGTGACTTCTATTTCTCCGTATGTTGACCACAACACATGACTTTTAGACCAGACAATCACTTGAAATGTGACATCAACAGCTTATTATCGCATCAAATCGGAAATCGTTGCCGACACAAATGATCAAACCGATGTGCGTGTACCTAATAATAAGCGCATTGGCTGGCTTTGTTTTCAACACTTGTTCTAATATTTGGTATTTCATTAATATTAAATTGATTTACATTCGATCAGCACCTGTAATTTTTTTTTTGGTGTATGGGCGGTGGGTGGTTGAAGAATGCGCCGACACATTCAATTGAAAACGAAATTGTACGAATCGAACGAATGTTTTTGACCTTTAACGTAGCTTATAGTACAACGACCAATGACTTAAGTGCATGACTTTTGGCTATCAGGTTCGGTGTCTATTTTCAGAGCCGTTCAATCAAAATGGCATAAATAAAGCAGCAGCAACAGTAGCAACAGCTACTCAACGATACTCCAAATCGTACATTTGCAATAAGATTATTACCCTACGGACTAAACCCAATGGTTTTAATGCAACAAATCGATAGCAATCACGCCTGCCTCAAATCGACTGGGATCGCTCAGCAGCAGCACAGTGACGGATGTGCGCGAAACATTATAATATTTATGGAAAAAATGTCACAATCAATCAAAGTTCATTCACTCGATTTAACATCCAATCCGAGCATCGGAGATGATTAGCTATATTTTCAGTACTCGCTTCGTAAACACACACACACAGCGTCAATCGATGTAACGAACTCGATAATCAACTGTCAACGCGACACAAGTGACTATGGGCTTATTTGAAATTGCAAAACTTTCCGCAGAAAATGAAATAACACAAACACACACTCCAACGGAATTATTAGTTGTCACATATTTGACAGCAGGCTGAAATTGTGTAAAACCGACGCAACGATGAAAAACAAAATAAATAGAAAATAAAGTGATTGGTGTTGTTTTTCATTCCATCTTTCAATCACATCATTCATCATGAGCAATTGTCTTGACGCCGCACAGCACCCACACGGCACATCGAACGCAAAAAACCGCAGAGAATGAGAGAAAGTGCAGGAGTTGGTCTCAAAGGACCATTTCATCTTGATATTGAGCATGAAGCGACAGCCAATCTCTCGCTTTTTTTTCCTCTTCCAATTGACACAACAAGCAAAATGCAATTCATATCGAACAGACGATATAAATGTGTATACACTCTTTTTCGAAATGTTTACGGGATTTTTTACGCCATATTTTTCTGCGAATTCGAATGGTTTTTGAAATAATTCAAAATTTTCTCCAGAGATGCGTCTTCTTTCGGCTTCATTTTGGAGAAATTATTTAAATTCTTCCTTTTCAAATAGTATAGAGATGTGATACATAGTAACCGAAAACATGGAAAAACTTTAACAAAGCCAATCCTCCTGCCGAAAGCGTAACACAAAACGAAAGATATCAATTTAAAAAAAATCATTTGGGAGCCATCACAATTACCCATTTTACATTCTTCTGACTAATTGTTTTTATCATTTATTCTGTGTTCGCTTTCGGCACGAAGGTTGACTTTGTTAAACTTTTTTTCATTTGATTATGTAAGATATGAAATTTTGTTCACGAACAACTATTCTCATTTAACAAAATTTCAAACGTGATTTCACGTATTTTGCCATGAATGTAGATTTGTATTGTAGCACCCAACAAATAGCATTTACCTTGACCTTGCAACAATTATGCTGCGATTTTTGTTGGTTACAAAAGATCAGTGTTTCACTAGTTTCGCTTATTTGAAACAACTTTAGCCGACGACACATCAAGAAATTATGTCTCTATTTCGCGGCGAACATGATTCTGGTCTAAGTTTTAACATGAATATTTGTTTACTGATACATGTGGCCCCTAAAAGAAGAAAAAAAAGAAAAGAAATAATTTCACTATAAAAGCTTAGGACATCAATCGTACGTTTTCAGTTGAATTTCAACATTTTTTGAATAAACAATTACCTCAGATGTCTGAATTTTTGCAAAAAAAATGATACCAGTAACAATATTTGTGCTTTTGGTGTCGTTGTCTATAGTTAAATATATTTTACACATGCGGTATACCGAAAGTTATGTGAAAAATGTGAAATTTGTTAACAAATTCATTCCATTCTTTGGAAATGTGTTGCAATTAGTAGGGAAATCATCGACAGAAGCATTCCGCGAGCTGGTTCAGTTTATAAATCGAGAGGGCACGCCGTTTAAAGGGTACATCGGTCCGAAGTTATCCATCGTTGTTGATAAGCCGGATGATATAAAAGCAGTTCTTACCCATTGCCTTGATAAACCATTTGTTTATGAGTTTTTTCCATCTAAATTGGGACTCTTGACTGAGAGATGTACGTAATGATATCGACTTCTTAAATCCTATTATGATTTAATAATTAAAATTATCAAATCGATCTATGCTCATCATTTGCCGTTTATTTTGAAGCGAGTGAAATTTGGAAACCATCTCGTAGGCTCTTGAATCCGACTTTCAACTTGAAGACTTTGCAATCGTTTATACCGATTTTCAATGAAAAGACCAAAGACTTCATAGATGAAGTGGGAAAAGAAGTTGGGAATGGTGCTTTTGACATATTGCCGTATGCGAGTGCTTGTACATTCCATGAAATTTGGTGTAAGTATTGGAGAAAATCCTTCGGAAAGAATATATTAACACAAATTTTTACCCTTATCAGCCACTTTAATGGGACTTGATATTGATCTAAAACCCAACGAAGGAAAGGAATTTATCCATAGCATTGAAGTGTGAGTAAGACGATTTCATGTTCAATTGATAAATTGGATTTAAAATTCTATTCAACACGTTTTTAATAACAAAAACATTTCAATTTTGTATCGCTTCAGTATTTTCGATTCGATATTCAAGCGATTCACAAGACCATGGTTGTATTTGGATTTCATTTATCGATGGACTGATCTATATAAAGAAGAGCAAAAAAACTACGACAAAGTACGAACCCTAACGAACAAGGTAGGTTTTGACAAGAAAACCCTCGAATCATGAATAGCTTCGCCAAAACGTTTTCAACTTGGCAGGTTTTCGAAGAGCAAACTAAACAATATTTGGATGAGGATAACGACAATGGTTTTGAGAATCTTTCGACAAATAAAAAAAGACACCTTCCAATCATACCGTTATACGTTGAAGGGAAACTCAGTGAGGATCTGGTGAAGGATCAAATCGAAGCGTTTTTAATAGCTGGATATGAAACATCCTCCAACACAGTGGCTTATACGGTTTTAGTGCTGGCCATGCATCCACAGATTCAAGAGCAAGTTTTCAATGAACTTCGTTCCATCTTCGATACACCGGACGAACAAACAACCTATGACCACATTCAGAAAATGCATCTTCTGGACCGTGTGATTAAGGAAACTATGCGTTTATGTCCAACTGCACCGTTCATAGAACGTACTTCGTCGACTGACGTTCAGATTAGCGATTGTGTTATTCCAAAAAATACGTTTATTGTGACAATGTTCTATACATTACATCGGGTATGTGATGATAAGAAAATTGTTATAAATTATAATAAATTCTTACAATTTTATTTCTCTTAATTTAAACAAATGTGACAGAGGCGAGATATATGGGGCGATAATGCTAATGACTTTAATCCGGATAATTTTCTGCCAGAAAACGTTCAATCCCGTCACCCATTTGCGTACCAACCCTTTGGAGGTGGCTCGCGTAACTGCATCGGTAATTGTCATTTCGGATTGAATTCTTCATATTCGATGAGGTTTTGATAAAATTGATGAAATCCTTTTCAGGCCACCAATATGCAATTTTTTCATTGAAAGTCATGTTATCCGCACTTCTACGCAACTATAAATTCAACACACATTTGAAGTGGTCGGAAATGGAATTTAAAATGGAAATTACACTAAAGTTGGAGAGTAAGCACATGGTTACAGTAGCACCACGTACCTGGTAGATGCGAAATTATGACGCTGATGAGCGTATTAAATCACCATCACCAATTTTTTTACCAATTTCACATCAATATTGTGGACTTAGCTCTAGTGTGCAACATTTATTCTGATTGTATTGTTCTGAAAATATATTAATTCCATGCACTCAACAATCAATTGTTTATTTTTCGAATTAATTTTTTCTGACTGATAAATTGCCTCTTCGGTAAATTGGAAGCAGCCGGCGAAATGTGATTAGAACTACACAGTACGATGGTGATACAGTGTTGCAAAATGATACGTTTCACACTTATTTTTATTTTCACCGCTAAAATTGAACAGAAAAAATAGCTGACCTTGCAAAATTGACATTACAACATTTATTAACCGGTTTGGTTCTTATAATATGAATTGTAATAAATACTTTTGGCAAAAATTTGGCGTCACCTACCAACAAATGTTGAATAGACACATTCAAAGGTAAAAATATAATTTAAAGAAGGTGTGATGCCAGTCGGTAAAAAACACAAGAAAAAATTGTCTGCTGAAATTTCGTGATTGACCTGCAGATTCTTCATACTCGTGGAATCCCAAAACTTCAAAAGAATCAAATGAATGATCAATTAGACTTAAAAACCACGCTGCTTATTATATTTTTGTTAATGAATGATTGTAAAGATTCACATTCTTCTTTTTCTGATGATGTGACATGTTTGATTTGTTGTAGTCAATGCAAAACCGCAATGAAAAAATAACAGAGAGTGCATATTTGCTGCTGTGTAGGTCTGAGCTTAGCTGAATTTGCTGAATCAGGCGATTCTAGAGGCGACTGAAGCGATATTTTACGACGTCTAGTGCAAATTTGTCATTGCTAGCGAAAATCCACGTTACTCATCAAATATATACTAAGAGCGATCTCAGCTACCAATGAACATTTTTAACCGCGCTTCAGGCGCCTAAGTCAGCAAACTCAGCTCAGTTCAGGCCTGCTCAGCAGCAAAAATATGCTTTCTGAAAGATAGTATTAAAAGCATTGATCCTTTGGTATCTCCTTTTCGTAAGCAAATGGTAAGACGTGATTCATAGTGTCTGTTCGGAAATTCCGCAAAATATGTGGTTAATAAAGCAACAAGAAATACTTGTTTAACTCGAAAATAGTTGAAATGATTTTGTTTGGTTTGTAAATAATAAAAACATTTTATTGATCTTATCCAATTTCAGTCAATTTCGAAAGTTTGATAAGTGAACAGCTTCCATAAATTTTCGCTCTCTTTGTCTGAATAGTAATCAAAATGTTCGTGGTGGTTGCATTAGTGATTTTAGTGACATAGTGAATAAGACTGAACAATTTTTTTGCCGTTGGCAGCAAAACCAGTTTCAAATATAGTATTTTATACTAATATACCCCGGTCGTTTTTTTGTCCTAATCATAACAACGTAACACTACATTCGTTCTCGAACGTTCGCTGGTTCTTCTGTCTGCATTCTTTTTCATTTCTGTGATTTTCAATATCCGTTTTTTATTCATAACTCGACTCGTTAGAGTCAATTAGGAACTGTGAAGCAGTTTGTGATGCTATAGATTGATCTTTCCATTATCTTGTAGTTTATCGGTTCTATTCTATTCGAACTGTAAATAACAAATATTATAATTGACCCTTTAATATCTTCTCTTCGCATGCACCTGATTCATTCTTCCAATGTGACTCATAATATTATTAATATCTGTACGAATATTTCGTAAATAGTATAAGTTCTGGTAGAGTTTAGTCACATTCGGTTTTACCTATATTTTGGCAATATGCATTGCATCAGTCGACTACGGAATTTTGATGATTAAACAACTCCCTTAAATTTTGCGCTCTCTTTGCATGAATAGTGATCAAAATGTTTGCAGTGGTTGCATTAGTGATTTTAGTGACATGGGCGTTGGTAAAATATGTTTGGAAAATGTATCGCAACGAAAGTTATGTTCGTAATTTGAAATGTAAACAACCATTTATTCCGTTTTTCGGAAATGTTCTTTCAATAATGGGATTAACATCGACCGAAATATTCAATAAATTTGTTCAATTTGCAACCCAAAATGAGACACCCTTGAAGATGTACTTTGGCTCAAAACTCATCGTCATTCTGGATAAGCCAGAAGATTTAAAAGCCATTCTTTTATCACAAAATTGCCTTGATAAGCCATATGTCTATGGCTTTTATCCCTGTCCACGAGGCATCGCAACTGAACAGTGTAAGAAATGGTATAAGATTGCAAAAAATTGGCTTGATTTTTTGAAATCATATTCATTTATTAGGCGGTGTTATATGGAAAAAATCTCGAAAACTAATGAATCCTACGTTTAATTTGAAAATGCTGCAATCATTCATACCAGTTTTCAATGAGAAAGTGGCGAGTGTTGTGCAGGAATTGAAAGATCATGTTGGAAAATCGGGCATCGATATAATGCCATACACGAACGCATATTCCTTGGACACGATTTGTGGTGAGATTACATATAATATTACACAGGAAATAAAACAATAATGAAATAATTTTACCTCTAGCCACTGTGTTGGGACTTGATATCGATTTAAAATCAAGCAAAGGAAAAGAATTTATCGACAGTTACCTGAGGTAAGTGTTTCTGAGATCATTCAAGTTATCAATTCATTTGATCTGATCAACATCTTTTAGTATTGCTCAAATCATACTCAAGCGTGCAGCCATGCCATGGGCTCACTTTGACTACATTTATCAATGGACTGATTTATACAAGCAACAACAGAAACGCATGCCAGACGTACGGTATCTGATAAATCGGGTAGCTATTTTGTTTTTTTTTCTCTGTAAATTAATGAATACATTTTTGTATGGAGATATGATACTACAAAAATAATTCAAATCTATGCCGCCCTTTTAGACTCACATTCAAATATATATAATTTATCTGTTTGTATATTAATAGGCATTCGATGAACAAATCAAAAATTATTCGCCGAACAATAATTTCCCGAAAAATGATCAAAATGTCACGGTGCAAAACGAACATCAGTTTATTGGATTGTACATGGAAGGAAAATTTAACGAAGATATGATGAAACAGCAAATTGAAACAATGTTGATTGGTGCATTTGAGACAACCGGTTCAACGGCTGCGTTCGTTGTTTTGATGCTGGCCATGCATCCGATTATACAGGAACAAGTCTTCGACGAACTTCGCTCCGTATTCGATACACAAGATGAAGAAGCAACGTATGAACACATTCGGAAAATGAATCTATTAGATCGTGTGATTAAGGAAACCATGCGTCTTCTTCCAATGGGCCCATTTATTGAACGTGTTACAACTGCTGATGTGCCGATCAGTAGCTGCGTTCTTCCAAGAGATGTATTAATTTCGATTTCAATCTTCACATTGCATCGGGTATGGTAGCTAACAAATAATATCGGATACAGTAGCATCGAAACGATTTTCGAGCGATTTCATTATAATCATAGTTACATACTCTTAAATATAATCAACAGAGAAAAGACATTTGGGGCGAACATGCAAATGAATTCAATCCGGATAATTTTTTACCAGAAAAGGTTCAATCGCGTCATGCATTCTCCTTCCTTCCATTCAGGTAAATGGTGATGAATCAATAAAGTGTTCCTTTTCCTTCAATTTTCTTTTTGGAATTCTCGTTGAATTCTCTACTTTTTTCGTTTATTTCAGTGGAGGCCCACGTAATTGCATTGGTAATTATTTCACAATTCTAAAATCTAAATTTCAGTTAAACATTGACAATAATCCAATCCGTTAGGCTATCTGTATGCGATGTTCTCAATGAAAGTGATGATCGCACTTCTACTGCGCAACTATCAATTCAGCACGGATTCGAAATTGTCAGATCTTGAACTAAAATTTGAACTCACACTAAAATTAGCGAAAAAACCAGTGATCACAATAGCACAACGCAATTGGTAAATTAAGAACACCAACTACGAGTATGAGTTCACATTAGTAGACTTTAATGGAGACTACAGTATATTAACTATTTTTAGATTTTAAAATGAACGTAGGATTTAAATGGGCTTTATGTTATTGTGTTTTTGGTTACATTTTTGTGTTTTTCTACATAAAATATTTTAAATGTGTTTTGAGTTTTTCATTTTCACGGTTTAAAAAATGATTAAGGGATTTTCTATTAAGCTTTTAGAAACGCAATTTAAAATAATATAATGAATCTGCTGATGGGACAAGTTGTACTATAATGTACACTTGATAGAATATTTTCTTGTTTCCATTGTCGTCTGCTTTTCTTCAAGGTCACATACATGGACAGGCATTTTCACTCGAACGCAGACTAATTAATTAGTAGAGCAATAACAAATGAAGTTTCATTTAATTATAATTGCTACATTCAATCAAATGACATTCAAAAGGTTAAAAAAAACATAGCCCTGGTTATAATCATAACATTTTTCTAACAAACGACAAAGTCGTTCTTCTGTCATTATTTGCTCAAAATGATTATACAAAAAGAAGTGTTATTGTCTTCTCTTACAAACAATCTAAATTTTGATATAAAAGTTCATGCTTTACCTTTAGTTGACTTTTAGTTAACTTCGGCAGTTTGATGAGTTAATAGTCTATAATAAATGTTGAACCATTTCAAGAAAAAAAATGTTAACAGTGACTATACTCGTGTTTTTGATAACGTGGGCAATTTTGAAGTATATTTTGCATATAAGACATACAGAAAGCTATGTGAAACACATAAAAGGCCAGAAATCATTCATTCCATTCATCGGCAATGCATTTGCATGCATAGGCAAATCGCCAACGCAAATATTTCGTGGTATAATTCAATCAATTGAGAAAAACGATACTCCATTCAAAGAATACATTGGACCAGGTCTTACCATCACTTTGGATAAACCCGACGATATAAAAGCTGTTCTCATGTCTCCACACTGTCTTGATAAACCATATTATTATGGATTTTATCCATGTCCACGAGGAATTTTCACCGAACAATGTACGAAACGATTTTTTTTCTTTATTCTAAAAAGATCTTTTGAATATTTTAACCGATTTTTTTTCGTCAAGCGGGTGCTTTGTGGAAACCATCTCGAAAACTCCTAAATCCGATGTTCAATTTGAAAACGTTGCAATCGTTTATACCGATTTTCAACCAAAAAACACGCCGTCTCGTCAAAGAATTGGAGGAAATGGTTGGAAAACCCGCTTTTGATATAGGACCTTCAATGAATACTTGTACTTTGGATGCTATTTGTTGTGAGTGTTGAATGACGTGTTTCACTTTTAAGAAAACTTATTAAAATTGAGTATCATTATGTAGCCACTGTGATGGGACTCGATATTGATTTGAAATCCAACAAAGGAAAAGAGTTTATCCAGAGCTTGTCAGAGTAATATTTTAAATTCTCCTACAAGTTTCATTCAGCCTTTCTGATCATGAAATTAGTAAACAATACAGCGCCGCCTGGGGACTAGGTGCAATGGGCCATACTTTTAATGCTCGAACTAACACAGACCCACTAACACCGACGCGTACTTGTTATAGCGAACTATGTGCATGATTCTTGATTTTTGCGACGAGTCTCCAGGTGTCGCTTCATTGTTCTTGTTTGACGTTTCCTATCTGTTTATACAGACGATCAGAAAGGATGGTTTCATTATCCCTAATAATTAAGTCAATAATTTTTTTGTTTTATCCAGAATTCTTCGAATTGTAATGAAGCGACTAACTATGCCGTGGATTCATTTGGATTTTTTCTACCGATGGACGAGTTTGTACAAAGAACAACAGAAACATCTGGCAAATATAAGATACTTAACAAATCTAGTAGATCTCTAATTTCATTCTTTCAATCAAATATCGAACATTTAGTTCAGAAGTAAATGAATATTTCATTCAGGTTTTCGACGAAAAAATAACAGCGTATATGTCCAGAAGTGACAACACTACACAAGAAGAATATATTGAAAAAATTTCGAAAAGAGCCGAGCTTCCGTTCATTCCGCTGTTTATTGAAGGAAAACTAAGCGAAGAAGTGGTGAAACAACAAATCGAAATAATGTTGAATGTTGGACATGAGACGACCGGTTCAACAACTGCCTACGTTATTTTGATGCTGGCCATGCATCTAAATATACAGGACCAGGTTCTCGACGAGCTTCGTTCAATATTCGATACACAAGATGAAGAAACAACGTATGAACACATTCAGAAAATGCATCTATTAGACCGTGTGATTAAGGAAACAATGCGCCTTTTTCCAGTTGGCCCATTTCTTGAACGCATTTCCACTGCAGACGTACCAATCAGCAACTGTGTTCTTCCGAAAAGTACAGTCATATTGATATGTTTCTATACGCTACATCGGGTATGATAACAACAAGAGAAACGAACAATGGATTTCTGAACATTTATTTAAATTCAAACCAACAGAGACAAGACATTTGGGGTGTAGATGCGAATAAATTTAACCCAGATAATTTTTTACCAGAAAAGGTTCAATCGCGTCATGCATTCTCATTCCTTCCATTCAGGTAAATGGTAGTGAATCAAAAAATATTTCCAAACGACTTACATTTTCATCAATACATATTCATTTCGTTCTTTGTTTTACAATTTATTCTGTAATTTTGATTGATTTACTTTTTTTTACTTCTTTCATTTATTAGTGGAGGCCCACGTAATTGCATTGGTAACTATTTTACAATTCAAAAATCTAAATACTTATTAAATATTGACAATAATCCAATCCATTAGGTTATCAATATGCAATGTTTTCCATGAAAGTGATGCTAGCAACCCTTCTGCGCAACTACCAATTCAGCACGGACCTGAAATGGACTGATCTCGAACTTAAGTTAGAAATCACCCTAAAGTTGGAAAATAAATGCATGGTTGAAGTAGCACCACGACATGTCACAATATGT